GGGAGGAGCCAGGGAGCCAGGGCAGGGGGAGGAGCCAGGGAGCCAGAGGAGGGGGAGGAGCCAGGGGAGAGGGAGGCACACCTCAATGAAGACGACTCCCGCGCACACACCTAGGATGACACCCAGGTTCTCCTGCAGCCACGCCTCCACCTTCTGCATGCAGCCCTGCAGGAACACAATCTCCTTAGCCCAGGCCAGTTCAGGGGGGCCACACTCCACCCTGGGGCCTGCACGGAGGGGTCTATGTGAACCCCGGACAAAGAAAGGGGATGGAGGTACAAATGACAGAGAGCAACTGAATCAAGAAAGCAAGAAATGAAGGGGTGGTGTGTGATGGAAGGAGTGGGAAGAAGTGGAGGGGGAAGGAAAGGGAGAGGAGCCAGCACACACACACACACACACACACACACACACACACAAACACACACCATCACCACCACGCCCGCTTCTGCCACGCCTGGTGGGCCTGAGTGAAGAATAAGAGTCCTGGGACCCGCACACACCTCCTGGTACACGGGCCACTGCGCCGGGTCGTTGATGCCCTGGGTGCCGTTGCTGGGCCTCTCGCAGAAGCCCGTCTGTGCCAGCCTATCCGTGGCACCCCGCCTGTCCTCGCAGGAACAGGGGAACGTGGTGTTGGTGCGACTCATGAGCTCGGCGTTCTCCGTCCAGTTGTAGAAGCTGACCCAGCCGCAGCACTCCACCTGGGCACAGAGGGGACAGGCTGCTCACACCCACGCTCACCCAGGCTGGTGCCCTCCAGGCCGAGGAAGGGCATCCCCCAGCTTAGGTCCCTCCCCCAGGATCGGGGCTCACATCCCGCCTCCGGGATCAGAGTGCAGGCTGCTGTGAGCACCACGAGGACAGGAGGCCCCAGGGACGCAGACTGTCACAGCACACAGCCACCCTTCTGGTGGGAGGTTCCAGTTTCCCCAACCACTCAAGCCCCGCTGAGCAGTTCCACTCGGACACACACGGGGGCGCCAGAGCCACGGCCTCCATGGGGCGCCCAGGGCTGGCACAGGAGGGCAGGCGCCAGCTGGGCTCCAAACATCCAGCTCCACCACTTACAGCTGGCTAACTTGATCCCAAGGGGCTGAGCCCAGTTATTTCATCTGCAAAATGGGCAGAGCAAAGGGTCCTAGCTTCCAGGGAGGTTGTGGGCACAGAATGGGGGCGTGGCAAACATCCCCAGGAGCCTGGGTAGACCAAGCCCCACGTGTACTTGCTGAGCACAGGCAGGAGCTGAGACCTCCCTCTGAGCTGCCTTGCTGCCAGAAAGGAGAGAGGAGGAGAGGAGAGGACAGGAGAGGAGGGGAGGGGAGGGGAGGGGAGGGGAAGACAGGGGAGGGGAGGGGAGAAAAGAAGAGAAGAGAGGAAGTGAGAGGAGGGGAGGGGAGGAGAAGGGAGGGGAGAAGAGAACCATTCTGTCTTTTAAGAGCAGAAACTGGCCAGTTGTGGAGAAGAAGCCGTTTTGAGATCCCTCAGGGCGTGAACCCAGGGGAGCAGAGCAGGTTGAGGTCCCAGTCATCAGAATTCCCCAGAGGCCTTGCCTGGTGCAGGACACTTCCTGCTATCTCCCGGTGGACCCCACTCTCCAACAGGTCTCCTGAAGGGAAGAGGGGGCACTTGCCCATGCTGGGACATGTGTCTTACTCTAATCTTAGCCAAGGGTCTCAGCAAGTGGGGCTCAAACTAAAGGTGACATACAGCCGCCCCTTGTGCCCGAACCCCCAGCTGACATAGCCCCCAACCCTCGGACTTCCTCCGAGCCTCTCGGCTCATTCACACGGAAAACGTGCCTGGCCACTGCCCTGCTCAGAGAAGAGACACAAGTAGGCCACCTGTACCATCGCCTTAGCCTTAGCCTCCAGCCCCCTCACCCCCGCCCTGCCCACCCGACAGCCCTCGTCCCCAGGCAGTGGCTATGTGTTGCCACCACATCCCGAACCCTCACTGGAGAGAGGAGGAAGCCACAACCCAGAGAGGGTAGGTCCTGACTTAGGGATACACAGTGTCCGGGACCTGGCCTGTCAGTCAGTCTGCCCCTCTCCTTAATTCAATGAGATGTAACACCAGTCTGTGAAGGTCACAAGAGCTTAAAGAGCTCCGTTTGATGGGCTTCCACACACGTACGGGGGCTTCCAAAAGGCCAGTGGAAAAACCCCACCATCTTTTCGTTCCATTTGCCCATGAACTCCCACACTGACATCACCACCACCCAGGTCAAGCTTAGTAGGGAACACTCCCGTCACTCAGAGGACTCCCAGACCCCGATCAGCACTGCGGCCAGGGGGCGCTCCGCAGTCTCCCAGATGGGCCAGGACTGAGGGCGTGAGCTGCCCTCTCTCAGCCACAAATAGGGGCTGCCTGAGACCCTGGATGAGGAGCAGGGGTGCTCTGGAAGGGGGCTGCCCAGAAGCCCCACTACACACACACACACACATACACACACCTGTCTCTGCCAGGCACACACAGGCCTCACCTGCTCCTGAACATAGTCCCAGGTCTCCTGGAGGCTGTCCTCATGGCTGCCATTGACCCTGTAGTTCCTGATGAGTTTGAGGACGATGTCCCCCATCTCCTGCTTCACCTGCAGAGAGAAGGGCCGGGATCAAGACAGCCTACAACCCACACCTGGTAACTCCCACGTAAACAGCCCCCCTGGGGACCAGGCCCCAGGCCCCATGTTTAATGGGGTGTCTGAGTAGCTAGTCCAAGCTCCCAGCAGCCAGCGCCAACCACTGCTTCCCCCTGTGGTCCAGACTGCACTCGCTGCCGGTAACTCCAGCGTCCTCTCCGGGGTCTTACGCCCTCCCCAGCCAGGCACTAGTCTTCCCGCTCCTGCACAGAGAAGACGCTGGCTTACACATCAGGCAGAGGGCTGTTCATGGACCAGAGGCCGTGGCCTTACAGGGCAGTGTTCCCTGAGCTTTCCAGGAACATGAGGGCTGTGTGACCGCAGCCCAGCCCCAAAGTCCTGTGTGTGTAGGGCCCCAGAGGCCTCTGACCCACCCAGTCCAGGCTTGAGGGGTGTGGCCTGGCCTGGCCACCCTCTGTGGACTTGCCGCACCCCAAGGGAGGACCATACACCTGCCCCTCAGTTCTCAGAGTTGGGGGAAATGGGCAGAGGCTTCTCACTCAGGCAGGGCGGGGAGGAGGGCAGAGGCTGACTCCGGAAGCCCAGTGTTGGGGCTTCTTCCAGCTCCCTACAAACAGCCTGGGTCCCCTCTTTGTGCTCCGTGCTTGGAGAACGATGGCCTGGCTCCTCCCCCATGATCTTAACCAGTCCTACACCTTACCCCCAGAGGAGGTTGTGAGCATCTGCCCCCCTACCAAGCCCCAAACCAAATTCACTTCCACCAAGCTGGTTCCAACTCATAGCGACCCTGTCGGAGGAAGTAGGACTGCCCCTGTGGGGTTCCAAGGCTGGACATCTTCCCGGAGCAGAAAGCCCAACTTTCTCCCATGGAGCTGTCAGCCGGTGGGTTTGAACCGCTGCCCTTGTGCCACGACACCTTTAGGGCTCCTGCCTCATTGCCAAACCCAAACCAAACTCACTGCCATTGAGTCGATGCCGACTCAGTGAGCCTACAGGACAGGGTAGAGATGCCCCTGTGCTTTTCAGAGACTGTCACCCTTGGAGAAAGGCTGGTAGTTTCGAACTGCTGAGCTTCCAGTCAGCAGCCCAACTGTTACCCCTGCGCCACCAGAGCCCCGCTACAAAGCCCTGCACTTTACAAAGCCAGCAACCATCCTCCTGGTGGGCCCTGAGCGGCCCCTGCTCGGCCCCAGGTGCTGCGTGGAGCACTCTCGGGGTCTCCACTGAGCCCTGACAGGTGTGGTACTGACTCCCGTGTTTCAGAGTGTGGGAGACCAGGCCAGAGCCGGGAGGAACTTGCGGGAGGTCACACAGTCAGGGCAGAGTTGCTGAGCACTGGACCCAGGCTGGTGAACCCGCCCCAGGGGCCTTGGAGGAAGGTAAGATCTGGTGCTTCAGGCCCTAAGCTACACAGCTCCACACGCAGGCCACCAGGCCCAGAATCAATGTCCGACAATCAGGTTAGTTTGGGGCTTTTTGTCTGATTTTAGAACCCAAATGGCCTACCCATGACGCTTGACTGGCATGTAACCCACGTGTCCATGCTTCAAAGTAGGCCCCCCAGTCTGCATGGGGCTCACATAAAGGGGAGTCGCTTGCCCAAGTCACACCGCTGGGGTTGGCTGCTGCCTACCTCTACTCTCCAGAGATGTGGGGTGCCGCCTCCCAGTCATCCTCCCCACCCACCTCGGGCTCTATTAACACCCCATGCAGTTCTCCTAGCAGTCTCCACCATCCCTGCCTCCCATCCAGGCCCTGCAATGCGAAGGTGGGAGAGGAGGGTGGTTTCCACGGAAACACTGCCACACCCTACAGCCTGCAGGGCCGAGCCAGGCCCCAGGGACCGTGGCTGCACAGGCAGGCTCAGCTGGGAGCCCACTGCCCAGGAGACCTGAGCTGGGAGCCAGCGAGGTCACCCAGGCAACCGGGCAGCTACGGAGCCCAGAGCCAGCAGGGAGGGGGTGGTGAGCATGGCCTCCCTCAGCCCTGCAGGGACCTCTGTTGTTTGTGCCACTCTCCCTTCTTGAAAGAGCAATGCCCAGGAAAAATATTGTTGAGAATGAGGGGGTCAGAGGAGGGAGCCCAAAGTCCATCTGTAGACAACGGGACATCCGCTCACAGAGCGGTCACCGGGAAGGAATGAGTCAACCAGGGCGCAGTCAAGCACCGATGAAACCCACAACATTCCTCTATGCTTTCCCCCCCACACTCACTATCATGACCCCATCCTGCCTTTCACTTCAGGTTAGACCAGAGCATGTACACAGGTACAAGAGATGAGAGCTCACTACACATGAAACCCAGGAACAGCAATGGGAATAGGGATACCAGGAGGGTAGGGGGACAGTGGAGAGACGCGGGGAGGAAGGGAGAACTGATCAAAATGATCGACATAACCACACACTGCCCTCCCGGTGGGGTACAAACAACAGACACCGTGGGGGAAGGCAGACAGTGGTTGGTGTAAGATATGAAAATAATAATTTATCATTTATCAGGGGTCTATGGGGGTGGGGGGAGGGAAGAGGAGCTGATGTCAAGAGCTCAATAGAAAGTAAATGTCTAGAAAATAATGATGGCAACATATGTACAAATATGCTTGATACGATTGATGTGTGGATTGTATAAGAACTATAAGAGCCCCCAATAGAATAATCTTTTAATAAAAAATTTTAAAAACAAAGAGCAATTCCCCCTCACTGACCGCCTCAGATGCAGGCTGGTCTTCTGTCTCCCCTAGGCTGCTGGGACAAGGGCCCAGGTTTCTGGGGGCCACTCCAGTCCCCCCTGGGCATAGCCCTCCTGGGAAGGGAGCTGCCCGCAAGGGGCAGGGTAAAAGGGCTGAGGAGACTGTATCCTGGTGGCCGCATTGGGGGCCTGGGTGGTACAGAGCCTCCAGGCAGCTCTGGTCCCTTCAGCTGAGTCCCTGACACATGTGGCGGGCAGTCCTGTCCCGGGCTGGCCACACAAATGGGCAGCTGTAGGGTACGTGCTGGACGGCAGATCCCAAAGTCAGCAGTTCAAACCCACCAGCTGCTCTGTGGGAGAAAACGAGGCTGTCTGCTCTCATCACAATTTATAGCTTTTTATGGAATTTTACAGCAATTTACAGAAAACTCTACACAAGGCTGCTATGAGCTACATCGGCTCCGTGGTGGTGGGCTTTGGCACAAAATGGAAATACAGAACTCTTTGTTTAGAAATAATTAAGACTTCTGAGACAGGGACCCCAGAGCCCCCTGTGTGTGAGCCAGCCTCCCACCCTGGCTGCCGTCAACATCCCCATTTCCGGTGGAGGCTCCGAGCACTGGACTGGCTCATCACACAGTTATTGGCCAGCAGACAGAGGACCCTGACCCTGAACTGTCATGCCAGAGCCTGTACTCTCTTCCACTGCCTCCCTGGGACCCCACTGTCCTGGGTTCCTCTACCCCGCACCCCCACACAACGGTGGGTTCAGGGCTGACTTGAGGGTGTGAGTTCTCAAAGGGCTAGAGGAGACCTCTGAGTCCAGCCCATCACCCCAATACAAGAATCTTTCCCACGCTCTGCTTAGTGCTCCCCGCGATGGGGAACTCAGTACTGTACCTCACCCTGACGATTCCCCCTATTTTCTCTGCTCAGGATCCTCTCGACAGCCTCTCCCACGCCTCTACCTGCCCCCTTGCCCAGACCTCAAAGAAGAAGGTAAGTTCTTCTCTCTCAGGATGACTATCGGAGCCATATCAGTGACACATTGGGCTGCTATCCACAAGGCCAGCAGTTTGAAGCCACCATGCAGCCTGTAGGAGAAAGACGGGGCTCTCTAGCCCTGTAAAGAGTGAACATCTCAGACACCCACTGCTCCATCCTACAGGGTCACTGTGCGTCAGCATCAATGAGGTGGCAGGGAGTGGGGCTTTGGGAGGGGACAAACTTCCTTCAGAAGCTCATCACCACATCACACCTCCCAGTGCCCCTCCTCTCCGGCCACTGTGGCCACTCCCTGCAAGGGTGTCCAGCTCTCTCTGCACTTGGCCTCTCATGAGCCACGCTCCCCTTATAATGAAACACCCCAAATGCCCTGAGCTGGACTTCAGCATCCTGTCCCCTCCCCGGGAGATGGACCCTTTGTCAGGGCACATTGTGGGGGGTGGGGGGGGGGGCACCACCAGAGCCCTTCCTGGAGCCTGGCAGCCACCCTGGGTTTCAGTAAGGGGTTTTCTTGCCTCTCAGCCCACCTGTCAGCTCCTGGGGGCAGGGGCCGAGACCAGTGCTGCCCAGGGCTGCTCTTGCCGCCCCCGCCACGGCACCGAGCACAAACAGGGGTGCAGGAGCACGTGTGTCTCTCTCCATGATCCTTCCATGGATGGACACCCCGGAAACTACCTCCTCCTTCTGAAAGAGCAGGGGAGGTCATTTCTCCCAATCCCTGGCTCCAGCTGCCTCCTCCACCTCCCAGGGGGATCCCAAGCCATCAGGTCTGAGCACCTCCCCATGTGGCCCCTCACAGAGAGCTGTGTTTTCTCCTTAGGAACTCCACACATTACCTGGGCATGTAAGGTGGTGGGTGCGCTTCACGGGCAGAGGGAGGGGAGAAGGGGAAATACCTGTGTCCTGACCTGCCTTTCTCTGGGGGTTACACAGCAATGACACCCAAGCCACTGTCCTCCCCTCCCCAACAGCAGCCCCCCTCCCCCTCCAGCCTCTGCTCCAGCGCCTCCAGTCCTCAGAGCCTCACCTGCACTTCCCACCTGGCCTGCACCTAATTCAGCACCCAGCTCACCGGCTTCTCTCCCCTGGCCCTCACCTAACTCAGTGCAAGTCACAGGAAACAGGTTGCCATCTCCCCCATTTCCCCTACCCCCTCTACTGCCGGGAGAGAACAAACCAGAACCCCAGAGGGTCTGAGCTAAGAAGGGCTCATGAGCTCACTCCAGGCTCAAAGGTGGGGCAACTTGTCCAAGGTCACATAGCACTTGGTGGCAAAGCCCACCCTAGAACACAGCACA